CATGACTACCTGCTGGGCACCTGTGGGAGCCATGGAGACCCCACCCACCGGCCCACTGCCACCACTGCTAGGTGCAGGCCAGTGATGGTGGGAGACCCTTGGATCACCGGTTAATGGGGGGTCCCTGGCCCACAGATGGAGAGATGTGCGCCTTGGAGAACCTGGGGTGAGAAGGAGGAGGGATGTGAGTCAGAGAGGGGAAGGCCTCAGTCAGAGGGGCTTCTACCCTAGAAGGGAAGATGGGTCCGAAGGTCCCGGGCAGGCGCCCCAGGTTATGGGGAGGAAGGAGCACCCGGCTCTGGTGGAAAACCTCTAGGACGGCCCCTCCCTGGAAGTTTCTGGGCAAGTCGCTTAGGCCCCCAGTGGAACGCCCTGGAAGCACAGCAGGCCCATGATCTCCCTGCGCTACCAGGCCTGAAGCCAGGCGGCCTCTTCTGCTCCTCGCCACCTGATGGGTGGGGGCTTGGATGTCTGCTGGCGGCCTCTGCTGGGTATGTTTTCCCTGGAAAAGAGAAGACCCTGCCTGCTGGGAAGTAAAGCACCTGCCAAGATGGGAACCTAGGGCCTGGAGAAGCCATGGAGGGGCTGGGTTTGGAGATGGGTCACTCAGAGGGTCACAGAGGCGGGCAAAGCCAGGATGGCGGAGCCTGAGGGAGGTGGCCCACACTTCATCCAGTGTAGACTTCGGCCGTTTGCTCAGGTCATCACCCCACGTGGTGACAGAGACCCTTCCTCCCATTATCCTCAGTCATTCCATTTCTCATGGGTATCTCTGAAAAACATTCCTGTGGAGCCAGATCGATGACCCCCCCTGACCTTCTGAGGTCCTCCCCACCCATCTGTCACCACACACACACACCTCCTCCAAGCCTTGACCTCTATTTGATTTATCAGTAATTGCTGCATCTTTCTCTGGCTCCCTGCCTTCTGGGCACTCGGCAGTATCACATTTCCTGGCCTTCTTATAACTAATTTGATGGGGCCATGCGACTAGTTCTAGCCAATGAGCAGAGTGACTTGAGTGACTAGCAGGCTGAATATTTAATTGCCAGATACCCTCCAGAACTCTGACAAAGTGATTTTGAAGAAATTGGTTACTCCATCAGCATCAGTCCATGAGTGACACATGAGAAGACCCCTCTTGTTTCTCTGTAGAGATCCATGACAAACATGTAACTTGAGAGAGGAATAAACTCTGTTGCGTCCAGGCTGGTCTAGAAGCTGCACAGCATCACTAGAGACTCACACTTCCTCTCCCATCCATATGCTGTGACTTTCAGCCTACAGTTTACTTCAGGGTCCATACTAGCTGCTGGAGCTCCAGACATCACAGCTGTATTCCAGACGGGAAGTAGGAGATGGAGGCTAAGAAGAAGGTAAAAATGACCCTTGTCAGCTTTCTGTCCCTCTTTTAAAGAATTTTCTCATAACTCCCACTCAATATCTTCTACTCAATAGGATCCCCTATTTGGGAGATGTAGTAATTTGGCTGGATACTGCTGTATAAATGGTTACTTGGAAGAACACAGAAACTAGGATCTGTCAGTGAGGAAAGAGGGAGAGAGGAGAATGGATATTGGCTGGTCAGTCTGCAGTCTGTCCTGGGTACCAACCCAAATCCCCTCCCATGTCTCACAGTCCAGGCCCTGCATAGCACCCAGAATGATTATTTATTTAAATTTTAAGACAATACATGTACATAATTTTTTTAAATGCTAGTAGTGTAGCTGATACTACAATAAAAAATAAGTCTCCCTACTGCACCTGCCCCCCACTCCCTCAGCCAGAAAAAATCTCTGAATTTTCAACATATGACCCAGACCCTGTCACTTCCCTAGTGAGACCCCTCCATGGAGGCGGTCTGCTCTTGGGCCCACCCTCCTTTCTGCCCTCAGCTCACGCCATTCTCCTGGCTCGTAGCGGGAGGTTCTCTGGCCTCTATCCAGCTCCTGGAGATGCCCTCCCTGCCAGGCCCTTCCCTTGCTGTTCTCTCCCCTGGGGTCCTCTTCTGCAGTCCTTCAGGGCTCAGGTCAGTTCCTTCTGGTTCACTGGCAAGTTCTCGAGGCCCAGCCCCACACAGGTAGCCAAGTCCTTCCTCCACCCTCCAGTCGGGGGTCCATACTGCTGGGCAGCTGGGGGCTGTGCTCTGCTGTCTGTCACCAAGGGACATGATGGGGTTAGCCCAGGGCACTGTGGGAAGGGGAGCTCTGACCCAAACGTGGATGAGCTTAGGAGCTGAGTGATCATTCATTTATCTAATATGTGTCACAGTGCCTCCTAGGACCCAGGATTGGGGAGACACAAGAGAATGAGAGGAGCACATTCTCCTGGACCTTCCAGACCAGAGCGGGGAGGCCGACAATAAACAAAACAAACAAATAAGATCATTCCAGACTGTGATTAGTTTCAAGAAGGACATAAACAGGGAATTTAGTAGAAGGTTTCAGGGTGGCTGGCTGTCATGTTAGAATATGTGGTCAGGAAACTATCTTAGAGCCCTGAAGTATGAGAATGTGCCAGACAAAGAACCAGGGAAAGGGATTCCCAGCAGAGCGAGTAGCGCGTGCAAAGGCCCTGAGGTGGCAGAGTGGCCTGATAGAGTTCAGGGAGGGGAAGGTGAGCAGAGGTGGGCAGGGCTGGGCTGCAGGCTGGGTTAAATGGGGTTATTAAGAGCCTTGGGAGGATTTTCCGCTGGGCAGTGGCGTGACCTGGGCTGATTTATTTGGGAGCTGACTATGGGAACTGCACTTTGTGAGTCCTTTGAGTGGTTTCTGCAGTTCTGTTTATAGCATTGGGAGAGCTTTATGAAGGTTATTTTTGGTTCTACGGCCATTTCAGTTGAACCAAAAGCAGGATGCAGAGCAACAGGGCAAGTTTCAGCAAACCTCCCACATTTCTCTGTGACCTTGGGGATTGTCTACATGAGAGGGATACTCATGTGCCCGAATGATGAACTCTTTGTCCTCGATATCCCACCACTCAGCAACTCTCAGCCCACCTTCCACCGAGGGTAGATGCACCTATCAAGGCTCTCCAGAAAAACAGAACCAACAGAGCTATATCTGTATCTCTATCTGTATCTCTATCTGTATCTCTATCTGTATCTCTATCTCTATCTATCTCTATCTCATCTCTATCTCTATGCCTATCCCTATCCATCTATATCTATATCTATATCTATATCTATATCTATATCTATATCTATATCTATATCTATATCTATATCTATATCTATATATTTATCTCTATCTCTATCTCTATCTATGTCTATATCTATCTATATCTATTTTATATTAAGGAACTGGTTTATGTGATCGTGGGGGCTGGCAAAAGGCTGGCAGGTTGGAAACTCAGGTAGGAGTTGACAGTGCATCTTGAGGTAGAATTTCTGCTCTGTAAAGAACTCAGGTTTTGCTCTTAGAGCCTTCAACTGATTGGACTAGGCCCAGTCACATGATGAGGCTAATAAGTTCCTTGCAGGTGTAAACCACATGTGCAAAATACCTTCAGGGCAGCATTTAGATTAGGATTTGAATAAGTAACTTGGCACCATAGCCTAGCTGAGTCTACACATAAACCTATCACAGTAAAAACTATCACAGCATGGCAAAGTGGTTGAGCACTGACCTATGAACCAGAAGGTCGTGGTTCAATTCCGTGGTCAGGGCACATGCCCGTGTTTTGGGCTCGATCCCCAGTAAGGGGCACGTAGGAGGCAGCCGGTCAGTGACTCTCTCTCTGTCCTTCTCCCTTCCTCTCTCCGAAATTAATAAAAACATTAACAAAAATTTTAATAGAAAAAATAAAAGTTTTTATTCTAGGACCAGCTCGTGAAATCTTTGAGCTAACCCAGGCTCTTTTGTTCTGTTGCTCCGGGCAACCCTATGTGTGAGCATTGGGGGAATTGCCTCCACCAACCATCCTTTACTTGAAGATGAAGGCATTTGCCTGAGGCTGAGCAGGTCTGAAGCTGTGGGAAAAAAAGTTCTGGGCATGCAGTTCTCAGTCTGGGCCTGGAGGTGGCGTGAGAAGCGGCGTCTAGCCCAAACCTCTCCCCTCCGACTCTCAGCTGGTGCTCAGTCAGTGAGGTTCGTGGCTTTAGGGACCTGGGCCTCGCTGGCCAGGAGATGCCACTCCACGTTGGTCCCCTTCGCTGAGGGGCCTCAAGGGGTGTTTCTGACTCACTAATTTCAAGTCTTTGCTGTGTAATCTTTGCCTTCCCTTAACCAGATACTTCAGGTTCTCAAAGGGTCTGACTCTTCCCACAGTGGCTACTGAACTCTGCCCTCGTAGCCCTCTGTAACCTCCTGCTTCTCTGCCTTGGTGGTTTGTGTGGTCAGATGAAACCCAACCGCAGGGACAGGCAGAATAAACTGAAGGGGAAACGAAAATGTACCCTGACTGTAGGGTAAAGGGTGGGACAGGCCTGGGCTGTTCAACGGTTCCCAGGCCTGAAAGTGTGTGTGAGGGGTTAGAGTGTGTGCAAACCACCCCAGACGCATGCCAGGCGTGCTGGGCCGAGCGAGGCCAGCTCTGTAGTGTCTGGACCTTGGTTCAAGCCTTCGCCCTGGACAGTTGGCTGGAGGGCACAGGCTCCCGAAACTGGGTTCTCTACTCAGGGAGCTTAGAATTAGCCCCATGCCAGGGGAACTTGGCCCCCAACCCAAAGAACACAATTGCTTTAGTTTGGGTTCCTTCAAAAACAAACCTTGAGACAGGAAGTGGGTGAAGTTGTTTATTTGAGATGTGATCCCAGAAAGCATGACGTAGAGAAAAGAGACAAAGAAGAGAGGAAAGAAAAGAAAATTCATATTAATGGGCA